GATATGCTGAGCAAATCCATCTGGCGGAGTCAGGTTAGCAATCTCATAGTGCATGGAGAAGTGTACCCACCTCTTTCCTGCATTTCCAACATTTGTTGTCCTTTATTAGATCAATTTGGCATAGCTTACTTGGTGTAAAATAATACCTATGTACAATTTGTAGTAAATACATTTTTTTCTTGCATCCTTTGTAGCCCCTCCCATATTTGAAAGAATATTTTCCCACACAGCCTCGTCAATGTCTGTATCAAGATCTTTCTGAAAAAGGTTGATGTTGAATCTTTTGGATTGACCTAGTGATATGTGTGATATATAGACCCAATAAAAAACAACCCACTAGATTTTGACTTAAAAGAGTATTTAAAAATGCTCATGAGCCATCACTGTAACAACGTTCCAAAGACCTATTGGAAACAGGCCCACAGCATCACAGATCCTCCACTATACTTAAAGGTGGGAATGAGGGCCTTCTCTGCATATCTTTCTTTTAATCCCTGGATTACCTGTAGTGTTTGCTGTTAAAAAGCTCAGTCTTAGGTCCCGTTCACACTGCAGGCAAACTTTGCCCCGATCTGACTTTTTTGGGGAATCAAGTGATCAGGGCAGGATGCTTAAAACAAGTGCAGACGCTTAGATTGGGTCTGTATTTGACTTTTTTTCTGGTCCTTAATCCGACTCGTATCTAATCTTTTGGAAAGTGACTCCAGTGGGATCGACCAACGATATTAGATGGGACTTTGATGTCAGTTTCCATCAAATTTTGTGCTGTCCATCAGGAAACGGCAGCACTTCGCAGTACAAGACATAAGCTGGGATACAGCACTACAAAAACTGATTTGAAAATAACAAGTTTTTAAAAAAAATGCAGGTTACTTCAAGCCAGTAGGTAAGATGATCTGCAAGTATTTTAACTAAATGTCTTTACATAATCAGTATTTTGCTCCATAAGCTTAAACTTCTTTGAATTTTGTCTAATTTGTATATTTTACAGATGTTCTTTTCTGTTGGCAATTTATCTCCTTTTGGCTTTCACTGGTTTTTGAGGTTAATATGTGCCAAATATTTAAGATTTAAATAGTAAAATACATCTAAAAGATGTAGGTTATGGTGAAAAGTTTAATATTTAATAAGTGAAACTCATAAATAAATCCATTGCACATTAAAAATATTAAGCCTTTAATTCATATAATTTTGATGGTCATGGATTATTAAAGATAATGAAAGCCCATAATTAAATGTCTTAGAAAATTGGAATATTGTGAAAAAACTAAATTTTTTGGTCATATCCTAATCAGATAAGTTAATCAAAATTCCCGCAAAGGTTTCCTGAGCCTACATGTCATTGGTCTTAAAATTAAATAATTGAGAGCTGGACTCCAGGACCTAAAGATGTTTCTCACCTTACAGATCTGAATCAATGGCATCAGTTGCATGGAGATATGCTCAACTAATGGGCTGATATTTGAGGCAGATGCACATTTTAGAGTCCTCACCTGGTAAGGTAGATAAACTAGAGTCAGTGCTGCTGGATGTGGACAGGGGTGGAGCTAGAAGGGGGACAGGGGGAGTAACAGGCACATCACAGCACCAGATAACTCTGATACAGTGAGTAAAAAATGCAATATTCAAGTAAAAGTACAGTAACTTGGATTTTTTATTCTTAATAAAAGTAAAGTTACCAGTGCAACATGTTACTCGAATAAATGTGAAAATTAACGAAGCAAAAATCTCACTTTAAGGAAAAATTATCAAATATATTTTAATCAGTTATAGAAGAAAAAAAAACTTTTGGTCCATAAAGGAAACAAGGAGATATTAGCCTTAAACTGTTTGTCAATAATCAGTTGCAATAAATAAATGTTTAATAAAATCATTGAATTTATTATGCACCAAAATGGTTTATATAATACAATGGCCTAAACTTTATAGCATATAATTTTGTTCGACTGTTCAAGATATTTAATCACCAGTTAGTAAATTCATAAACATGTTCATTTACTGACACATGTTAACCCTTTAAAGCATGAACCATTAAATAATTGAAAGAACATAAACATTTTTCAAAATTAGAATGCCATTGAACTTTCTGAAAAATGTTGTATAAGTTAAATTAGATCATTTATTTGCATCAAATGTGATACATTAGACAATTCTGTATAATCTTTTATACATTTTCTGTTCACTACATGCGTCTGAATATT